TGCACTGCAAGTAAACTTTATACTTCTCTCAGTCAGCCTGGCAGTCAAGCCTTAGAACATCAAAACAAAACAAAAATTGTTTTCGCATTCTTGCTTGGCAATTGTAGCCCTAAAACAGATACTTCCGGGATATCAAAGAATGGTGAAATAACGAAATGGCACTGCGTAATTGTTGATGTGTGATAGGTGTTTTTGTAAGGATTAACTAGCTGTCATGTCAGTGATATTTATGCTGACCAGAGCACAATTTGTGCTAACTGGAGCCCCATAAGGCTAACTGTGGTAGGGGCGTACTCATAGTCCAGTCAAGCAGTGAAGGTTAGAGAGAATTTCATAATTTGCCGCTATAACTGGTTTTGTTTGCAAATGCAGTAATTGAAAGGATTTGGAAGGACTTCCAACGAAAACCCAAGTTGTATATGGCAATCTCTGCATATGAAAAAAAAAAACATCCAACTTTTTTTGATTATTAACCTTTTAATAATCTTCACAAGACATTCTGTAATAAAATTTTCTAGCATTTTTTAAAACGGCCACTCAATCTTGAAATTAGGGTGTGTTTAAAACACAAAATGGCAAAACGACGAAATGGGACTCGTACAGTTACCCTAAATACCACTGACTTGAGAGTGGTTAGCTCTCAAAAATTTTAAGGGTGAACCCTTAATTACAGACTTCCCTATCCCACATTGTCTCTTACAGTCACCTGTAGTGCCATTTTGTCATTTTGCTATTTCATGTTTAAAACATACCCTTGAAATTTGTGCACACAAAGGGCTATGTAATCAGGTATTAAAAGCCCATAATTTGCCTGCACTGAATTAACAATAATTATATCTGCATGGCCTTGAAGATGTCAGATACTCTTTAAATAGCATCAACAGCTTTCATCTTCCACAACATTTTCAAACTTTTCCTTGGATGGTAATGGTTTTCCAAACTTTTCAGCAAGATCAGTCCTGGAGTAAATTGCCAACACTTAGTTTCTCTGACACATCCAATATAATTCTGACTTCTTGGCTTCTTTGGATAAGTTCAACAGTCAACTTTTATACATGTACAAATCCTCCTTACAAGTCTATGTGCCTTTCTTTAAGACCTAGAGGCATTTAGTTGCTTCAGTTGGTTATCACTGTTTTGTAATGAGAAGTTTGATCCTGATCCATAGTCTCACAAGCTTGATTTAGATCACAAGCTTGATTTAGATGTCAATTTAGCTTGTTGAAATGGGAACACTATTCATGAGACCAGAATCCAGATTATTTTGATGACTGTCTCTCAGTGTTGATTTACTTCCTTCCTTCCTTCCTTGACTGTTTTTAAATACTCGTGCTTGTATTTCTTGAAGTTGGCTTTTCCATAGCTGAAAAGAAATTTAAAAATTTAAAGATGTGGAAAGTGTATTATATTGCATCAAGAGTTATCCAAAGAGTGTAAAATTCTAAAATAAACTTTGATATGACATTGTACACCAAAGTAACACGTACTACGTATATCTTAGAACTACAGGGATGGTCTCCTCGAGAGTTTCCTGTCTACTCATAAACATTTCATTGTTTCTCCTTTGTGATGTAACAACAGTCCACAACGTAAATCTAATTCCTGGCTTTCTGTTTTGTATAAAATTAAAACAACAAAAAAATTAAATGGAGCTCTGCAGAGTCAATGGAAACAAATGCTCGAAAACANTTGTGCATCATGCAAAATGATCCTGAAAACCACTCAACAGCTTATATTCCTGAATAACGAAGTATACTGTTAAATATAAGTGTTCTCACAACGTGAAAATCCCAATTCTGAAGACAGTGGGAAACAACATCTGCTCACTCATTTTAGAGTCATATCTGCCTATATCATATCATATCAAGCCTATGAAAATTATACTGCAAATTCCCCTGGGTTAATGACTTGTTTTAAACATACAATGACTGTATAAGTTCTAGTTGACAAATAATTAAACTATAAGACCCAGGTCAAAAGCCAAACTTAACATAAGATGAACTAAACAGAGTGAATTAAATTCATGATAAGTTCGACGTTTAAATGAACTGAATTTAGATCGACCAAAATGACTTCCATCTGTCTGAAGCAGATGGATAGAACATGTTGGTCCAACGATCGAGCTTTACCCATTTGGATAGACACAAATTGCAATTTAGTGCGACATCTGACCTGGGCCTGAGAAACAAAATTTGTTTCTCTGCATGCATGTTGTAGTTCAACACTACCAAGGCTTGGTACAATTTGTTATTTTCCCTTGTTTGATACACACCAGAACAAAGGAAAATACTGAGTTATAACACAGGATACCAAGGGTAAATATACATCTGCAACCTAACTCTCCCACCTTTTCACACTACCCACCCTCTCCCCCTCCCCCCACCCAATTCCCGAAATAAAAAATAGAAAATACATATTAAAAAAACCCCAAGATCTTGCTTTGCAGACTGATAACCCGGCATGCCCAATCAATGAAAATCAATCATCGGAAGGCAATCAATATAATCAATCTAATAGATAATAATTAATCGATTATTATCGATTGCCTCAATTAGTCAATGAAAATTGATACTCACAATCCTAGCCCTCGTAATTGCTATAGATTATATTGATTGTCATCGATTGTCATCGGTGATAACAATGTGGTGACAGGCCTACACAACTCCTATCCACGTGTAATAGCTGCTTTGAGAGTTTTGCTCAAACTAGTATATCTTTGAGGATCTGCCTCTTTTATTGCAAACAAAGCTAATCTCTTGTCCATTACGTTTTTCGCTGAAATTAAAACAAAACAAGAAAAATCGATAATATCAATGAAAATCAATAATATCGATGACAATCGATGAAAATCAACGGAAATCGATGAAAATCGATACTCACAATTTTCTTGGTGATCGATTTTCATCAATCAATTAATATCGATTACATTGATTGATATCGATTATATCGATTATTGGTTTTCATCGATTGGGCACGCCGGGACTGATAATGAGTAAATTAATTATCATTATTTTTAAAAAAAATCAATACCAGTGAATGGACCTCAGGGCTGTGTCAGTTGTGGTTAATCTAGAAATTGCATGGACCTTTCATGTAATAGCTTTAGATGTGAAGAGGTTCACAGATCGATGGAAATGTATTGATGAGGTAGCCCCGTGTTAATGGATCGACTCGTTTCTCCGTATTGAAATGAAACTGCAGGGAACGAAACTTAAACAAATCGAGATTACTCCAACCAAGAGTGCGTACCTTGCACATAAGAATAGCAATTGAGTTTCGCCTTCTGATAGAACCACTCTTTGAACAGGTCATCTCCTTCGACTTGCGTAGGAACGTCCATGTTTGATTTTACCCATCATCAAGTAGTGCCGTTAATGACCGGGAGAGCCTTGTAACGAGAAGATCTATGTAACGCATTACAGTTTGTCACGTTTTGATGTTGTGAGACGGAGACGGTCAAGCTGCCGGTATAAAGGTTCAAAATCCACCGTAAATATGGAGAAAAACGGATGTATAAATCATGCCAGCGGCAATCATTTCATCGAGAGGAAACCGGCCAAGGATCCCCGACTATTTCGACTGGAATTCTGCCCTCCATGGTTGCAATTCAACAAATATATTCTGGGAGGATATCGCTGCCATTTGTCCACAAGTCAATGTGTGGAGAGCTTGTTCTACATTCACAATGAAACATTTAATATTTATTCTCATGGTAAGTATGGAAGTAAGAAGAATTCACTCTGCTAACGCTTGTTGATTTTAAGGTTACAGATTCGTGAACTTCTGGTGCAGAAAAATGATAAAAAAAATTACATGCTGTGCGTACATGTTCCATGGGAGGGAACTTCTCGTTAATTATTAACCGTTGTTGACTGAAAAATCCTGCTTGATGTTGAAACGTACGCTCATGAATATTAAGCATCTTTGTGCCATTAGTAAACTGTTTCTGGAACCTTACCTTTTGAGCTGACTTGCCCCCAGTCCTCCATGCTGTGGTGTGGAGGAGGCTGCCTTTTGAACTGTAATGAATTTATGTTGATTGATGCATGGCTTCTCAGCAAAACTAATCAATGGGCCTTTCTTTTTTATTAGCACCCTCCCTTTGGAGGATCAGATTCAGATACACTAGTTTTAATGTTGTCAGCCCCTTTGAAGTTTGCCTCTAAGGGGCTCAAGATTTTGTCAACCTCTTTTTCGGACTCATTACCAGGGCCTCTCTCCAGGGGGTAGGATGAAGAAAGGCCCTGGGAATGAGTTTGCCTCTTTTTGTGCAGTGCTTCTATCATATACCACTAGTACATGCAGACCGGCATATCACCTACTGTATATTGCAGCTTTTACCGGAAGTATATTAATAAATTTTTGGCAAATTTTGTTTCAGGTATTCCTTGTGTATTGCTATTGGTTCTTATCCCAATGACGGCAAGTCAAGCTTGTCTAGAAAGTCCAGTTTGGTTTTTGCTACATTACTTTGCATGCTTCGCTCCATTTTTTGCAAGTCCGATTTATCATTTATTTATGTGTCATCAAAATGGCCAAGATGCTTATCACAAACTGCTCACCTTTGATGTCTGTGGAGTCTGGGCGATTAATGCTTTTGGTGGCCTTTGTGGAATCAGAGCAACATTTCATTGCCTTCCATTTTTGGGTTCCTTATCTGTAGCATTCTACATAATGGTTTCCTTGTTATCTGTATATTTCATTCTGGTAGCAAGTAGTCCCAAAGAAAGATTCAAGCCGTTAATGCTGTTTGGACTAATGAGATACTTCTTTGTCGCAGTCCGTATCTTGCTGTATACCTTTGATATTTCTAAATGCAGTATCAGTGCTTTGCCATATTACCTCTCTATGGATTTCTTGGCTTTTATCGGTGGAGCGCTGAATGTTGCTAGGATACCAGAAAGGTGGTTTCCTGGAAAATTTGACATCATTGGTAACAGTCACCAGATTATGCATGTGATAACCGTGCTGAGCGCTGTTTGCTTGCATATTGGATCTGTAAAAGATTTCAACTGGATGCAAGGAGCCATTTGTGAAGACATGTAGCTTGAAATTGTGAAAGTCTGTCACATATGCAATGCAGCCACGTTCTAGAATTAACAAACCTCGGTCTATTGTCTAAATTAATGTTTGGTAAGGAACTCACATGGGTTCAGTTCAGACAAAATCCATATTATTATTGTACTTTGGAGGGTGTAGACAACAAGTTTTACTTTGAGAACAAATTACAATTGCAACAAGTTCACAATCATGAAGTATTTAAAAACTGTGATTAAATTCCTCCAACATTTCACTGATTAAATTGACCTGCTTGAGCACAAAATCTGCTGGTTTCTTTTAGGTAGTATTTTCCTCAGACCTACCATAAAAGGCTCTCTTTGTAATGAGTTTTAGAAGCCATTTAGTCAAAACACAAAAACATTCGTCAGAGAACATCCTTCCTAAACATTTCTAGGAAAACTATAATTTCATATTTGTAAAAACTAGCAAACACTAAAGCTGTATTAAGTTTTAAGGGCAAGCCTGTCCATAGGGTCCCATGACAAAATGGGCAAATAAGCATGTGTTTTATGATTGTTTCTACTTGCGCTTGCTTTGCTCTTATTAACTGCACTTGGATAATGGAGGACAGGACAATGGATTAATCTGACTTGTGAATATTTAAGAATGAAGGGAATGGTTCAC